TGTCAAAATTTGAATTTCCGCGTTTAATTGATCATTTACCTAATTATATCAAGGAAAAAATGTGGTATTTGCATGATGGAGCTCCAGTTCACCATACAGCTAAAATTCATGAATACCTAAATAATTACTTTACTGAGAGGTGGATAGGCAAAGGTGGGCCTGTTCAGTGGCCATCTCGTTTACCCGATTTGACAAAAATGGATTTCTTTACTTGGCCTTACGTCAAAAACGTAAATTATAAAACAACTTCAACTACAAAAGATGACATGTAGGAACGCATTACAACTGTTTTTCGAACCATTAATAATATTGTTTTGAACTGCGTTAGCGATTGATTTTAAAAATGTAGATATTAATAGCTTAAATGTTAACGGAAATTATATTGAACATTTATTTTAAAATATCACTGTAGGTATAATTTTATATTTTTATTTTTATAGACGTATGTAGTTTTGTTGCATTTTTTGCTATGAAATTCCATACATTTTATAAAACGCTGCACTTTCCTTCATTGATTATGTCAAGTATCATCAACTTTTGACACTTATTTAATGGATTCCATAGCCACCTTACAAAATGTAACAACTTTACAAAATTTTTAATTATAATAATTTATAATGTAAAAACGGTTGATTTCACAGCTTAAAGTGTAAATGCAAATTTGCAACTTTGTAAATTGTCTATCTAATGAGGTATTATAATACGTATTTCTATTTGAAAAACATAAGTTATATTGCGTTAAAAAAATTTAGATTAAAGTCTACATTGTTAACTTGTGATTGAAAAGACGTATTTTTTGTATCTTTAACTGCTTTTTGTTGCTTCTACAATAAATTTTTAGATACCATGTTTTTAAGCAAAATATTACTAAAATGGCGAAAATCTTCCAACGTCACAAGTAAGAGAAAAACAATTTATGGTGCATATGCAGCGTTTCAAGCTACATTCCATGAGCTAATAAAAAATGGGTAGTTCTATTTAAAAAAATAGACTTTGATATTGCCTCGATTTTCTGATACACTCTGTATCATATGAGATATTTTTAAAATGTGCGCACTTTGTGCGTCAACAACTTTTATATGAAACTATTTTTCGAAAGTTCAACACCAACGGAAATAATGGACTCTCT